GTGCCTTGGAGGCAGGAGTGGTGCCACTGAGCTAAATCCCTGGCCCCAAAATAAAATATTTTTATTTTTTAGAAAAAGCGAACTTTAGTCAAAGAGCACTTTTAGAAGTGAATAGGCCTAGGTTGTACCACAGTACCCATGCTCAAGTTACACCTCTTCGTTAAGATGAACCAACTTAAAGGACATTGCTATCCCCTGTAGTTCTCTGAGGCCCTGGCTAGGAGCTTAGCATAGAGACCAGCATTCCTTCAGGGTAAAATGACCTAAGACTTGGAATGAGTACACAGGGCTGCTGGACCTAAGCACTCTCTCCTGTGGAGTGCAAGGGGCCAAGAGAAAGGCCAGAGCTGGGGGCTGGGGAGTCACTCGAGCTGCCAGCCCTGGGTCCGAGCAGGGAGATGGATGGAGGGGTAGGGACGCAAATGAGGCTGGTCCTCAGGCTGTACTCTCAGACTGGCTCTGAGAGGAGGGGCCGGAGGGTGGCAGCGGTTCACCCTGAAGGAGGCATAGACACATGCAGGCAGGGATGGAATCCCCCACTAAGGAAGAGTTTGGACAGAAAGCACGACAGACAAAAAGCCAAGCAAAAGGGAGCCGGAGCCCTTCGCTGGGCCCATCACCTTCCACAGGCTGCACCCAGGCTCCGAGTCAGCTACCGCTGGGTTCAGATCCCCACTCTGCCCCTTTTTGCACATTTAAGCCTCAGTTTCCTGCTCTGTAAAGTAGGATGATGATGAGGCAGTTGTGCGGATTGAAGGAAACAAGCACTGAATCACACCAGTGTTTACTGGGGGACTGGAGATGCCTTCTTCACACTCTCCTGGAGCTCATGTTTAGGATAGTCTTCCCATGCAAGCACCAGGAAACAGTAAGAGAGGCTTTGCTGAAAATGGCATGGCCAGAGAAAAGGAGGCCACTGCCCCTGCGTGACACTGTCACCCTAGGGTCACCATGCCCAAAGGAAGGGTTTTCACTTAGGGAGTCTCATGCCGTTTATTCTGCTCTGCTTCAGTCTCTGAAGCTTCTGGCCTGGATTCTAGCAACTTACCATCTGACTCTTTCCTGAGCCACCTTTTCTCTCCGCGACCTCAAAATACTAACAAAGCAGCTACCATCCTCATGCCCATCCTTGGGCTACAGAGGCACATTTAACTCCAGCCCAGTTCCCGAGGCCCAGGTAAATCCTTTGACGCCGAGTTCAGTTTCCAGTGGTCATGGAAGGCTCCGAATCCAAGAACACCAATGAGGACACTCACGCATGAACAAAGTGGACACTGCTTTCCACCCCAGGCTCCCTGAATTTCCCTCCTCATTTTTATGGAAAAGACAGGAGTATGGGCTCCCAGCTCCAATGGCTGCAGGATTCATTTCCTCCTCTGAGCAAGAGCTCATGTTAAGTGTGAGCTGAGGCCCCAAAAACCTCTGGAGCAAGATAGTGAGAGAAGCTGCCTCCTCACATGCAATCACATGAATATCTGGAGAAAAAGAGCAAGTGAGAGGGAAAGAGCCATTTTTATCCATTTATTATATACAATATTAAGGCACAAGTTTAAGCAGCAAAGAATAAGAAAATCTTTGGCTGACCAACAGAATCTGTATTTGCTGTGGGGGACATGCCATGTGCTTGGACTTGCCCACTCTGTACACAGACCCATCTGGCTGTACAGCTTAGTACACCACAAGTCAATACAGACCAGCAATCCAAAGATGCCAAAGGTTACACCCAGCTACCAGTGTTCACGGCACATGGCGACCACACACTGACAAACACACACACACACACAGCAGGAGGAAAGGGTAGTGGCATTAGAGCTGTCAGAATTTTGGCCCATGTTGGGAACCTGTGCTTGCCCTTGTTTTACAGA